GGAAAATTTGAGGGGTTTTTTTTTTTTTTTTTTTTTTTTGCGGTACGCGGGCCTCTCACCGTTGTGGCCTCTCCCAGAGCACAGGCTCCGGACGTGCAGGCTCAGCGGCTGTGTCTCACGGGCCCAGCCGCTCCGCTGCATGTGGGATCTTCCCGGACCGGGGCACGAACCGTGTCCCCTGCATTAGCAGGCAGACTCTCAACCACTGCGCCACCAGGGAAGCCCATAGGCTTCTTTTGATAGAGGGTTATTTCTTTTTTTTTCCTGTTTTGTTTTTTTTTTGTTTGTTTTTGTTTATTTGGCTGTGTCGGGTCTTAGTTGTGGCACGTGGATCTTTGTTGCAGCATGCAGGGAGTTATTTCTTAGCTTATCATTTTTTGTTTTGTGCTCTGTACTGAATGAAATAGTAAGGAAAGTGAATGCTCACTGGGGCTTATGAGACATGAAACCTAATTAGAATTTGTACTAATTTGTTAGAAAGATGAGTATATATTTTGCTATTCTAAATCTAAATAGAATGAATTCCATTACTGTTTCTAAGTAATTCAGGGTTTACTTTTGTGTCCCTGAAGTCAAATCCTGCATGTCTGCTCTAAAAGCCATCTTGCCTTTCCAAATTTTAGGATTTTAAACACTTTGAGAGAAAAAGCTAAAATTTTGTTTTTTCAACTAGAAATTTATAAATCATCATACATATTTAAAAAAATATATTTATTTATTTATTTGGCTGCTCTGGGTCTTTAGTTGCAGCACATGGGATCTTTGGTTATGGCATGCAGGATCTTTGGTTGTGGCATGTGGGATCTGTAATTGTGGCATGCAGGATCTTTAGTTGCAGCATGTGGGATCTAGTTCCCTGACCAGCATCGAACACTGGGCCCCTACATTGGGAGCATGGAGTCTTAACTACTGGACCACCAGGGAAGTCCCTAAATCATCATAAGTATTGGGAATTAGGCTGAAAAAATAAATTGTAATTAGACGTTTTATTTTCTGACTTTTTCACTGTACATGGTAATTTGGTTCTTTGTAGAAATATAGTAAGACATGCTATAGGTTTTTAGGATATAAAGCTACAGGCTTAAGGAGGAAATACTAAATAGAATGAAAGAGGTTTGCAATGTAATAATTACTTTCTATAGAATGTTCTAGAGTCTACTGAATAGAAACTATAGAAACCTATTTAAAGTACCATATTTCATCAACTCTAGGACATGATATATGGTAAGAAGTTTCATTATGTTAGGTACCACTACAAAGGAAAAAACACTCAGGATGGGGAGTTGTAGGAGATATCTCTTACAAAGCTGGTATACCAGAGGTCTGTACCCTTAGTCTAAGAATAAGTGAGAAATTAACTTGGCCGTGCAGAAAGGGGACAACAAAGAAACTGCAAGTGTCAACCTAGGTAGAGAGGGTGCCCCAAAAAATCTTCCCTGAGAATTTGAACCACGAGCCACAAGTCTGAGGTCTGAAGTCATATTACCAGTGTGATCCACAGAAGCCTGCAATGGAAGATTTAATTCAGACTGATTTCAGGTTGGTGGTGGCCCCAGATGATGGTAGAAGCAGATGCACATCTTCTCTGGAAAAATTCAGCTTTAATGCAGACCAATAGCAATGGCTAGATACCTTTGACTATGTGAGATATGTCCTAGTTTCAGAAACTTAATACATGAAAAATATGCTTTTTAGAATTGATAAATTATAATTTCATCAGGACCACCTTTTCAAGGATGTCAGTATATATTTTATATTTGTAGTGAGGCTCTTGAGACTGAAAAATTTTAAAGAGCTTTCTGAATTATTTTCAATATAATTTTAGATAAAACTATCTTATAAATGGAATATTTAAAAAGTGATGGCTTGGGACTTCCCTGGCAGTCCAGTGGTTAAAACTCTGCACTTCCAATGCAGGGGGTGTGGGTTCAGTCCCTAGTCAGGGAACTAAGATCCCACATGCTGTACGGTGTGGTGAAAAAATTTAAAAAAAAATAAAAGATTTTAAAAAATTTGGATGATCTTAAAACAAAAAAGTGATGACTCATATGCAGTATATATTGTGATTTTATTAAAGGAAATATTTGATTAACCAAAATAACCTATTCTGGTGTGAAAGGTGCCTTTCTATGGAAGAAAGGTAGTAGGCATGTTCTCAAGGGGTTTTTTTGTTATTAATTATATCTAAAGAGCCATGTTCTTCTTCCTTTTCTCTTGCTTTGCCAGAAATTTTCATTTTTTAATTTTTCTTGGTCTGTCCTAGTATATATGAGAGACATTTAATGTTCTTACTTTTCTGCTAAATTATTGAATGATGATACAGACATTAGTTTCCTGTTAATAGAATTGCTTCTCTAGTGTTTGAATTATTTGACTTGTGAATTTTAACTATGCTATCCATTTGTCTTAAAGAAAGTTAGACATCTAAAGAATATTTTGTAACTCATGTTGACAAAATTCTGTTTTCTACTGTAACTACTCCATATGATTTTTGGATTGTTGCTGCTTGTGACTGAGAGCAGAGTGGAATCATCTGAAGGAATGAAATGATTGCCAAGCTTTCACTGGGACTCTACCACCATTATCACTAATAGTTCCTGACATAGCTTTCTCTGCTTAAGAGCATTTTTTTTTAAAACAGAAGAAAACAGAAATGGCCTGGCCTTTTTAGTTTGTTCTTTGATTTGAATCAAACAAATTTCTTTTGGCCAGATGATTTATTTTTTGCTTTTGCCACTATTAAAAAAAAAAAAAGTAAATGTAACAACAAAGGATCTGATCCTCTAAAATTTACTGCATTTTTATCCTCTCTTATCTATTGCTCCTTGAAAACTATGTCATCATTCTTCTCTAACCTCTTAGAATACAGTAATTCCTCCTTCTGGCAAAGGTGCCTTTAAATAGAGCACTTGCATATCACCTAAGCCCTGGGTTTAGCTGTGTCAACCTCAAAGGACATGCCAACAATTTTCTTTTTTAATCTTAGACATATTATTTTATTATAAAACACATAAATGTATATACATTTACCAGTTTTTAGGTGTAGGGTTAAGGCTTTTTTTTGAGGAGCTTACAAATTAAAATTTAGTTTGTCTTTGTTGTATAAGCTGTATCCATTATGCATCTTTTTTTCCCCCAAGGATTTTTTTTTTTTTGCACGATACGCGGCCCTCTCACTGTTGTGGCCTCTCCCGTTGCAGAGCACAGGCTCCGGATGCGCAGGCTCAGCGGCCATGGCTCATGGGCCCAGCCGCTCCGTGGCATGTGGGATCTTCCCGGACCGGGGCACGAACCCGTGTCCCCTGCATCGGCAGGCAGACTCTCAACCACTGACCCACCAGGGAAGCCCCCCGCCAAGGATTTTTTAAAAGTATATTCAGTTTGGAAAACAACCAGAAAGTACCAGCATGCAAATCCTACTGTCGTGCTGTTTTCTGTATAGTTTTGTGTCTTAGGGAGGGCTTATTTACTATTTTGTAGAAAGAATTCCTATTTTAAGGATAATATTATTTTAAATCAATCTTCTGTTGTATTCCAGCACCAGGCTTGGTTTTTCCTGATTAGCTTTACAGCCAGTGTTAGACCCATTCTTTTACTGAATATATATAATCTTTTCAAACTCAATACTTACTTTGGGTGTGTTTCTCTTTTATTGCTTTTGTAGAACCTACTGGGTTGGTGACATTTACGAGACAGAGTCTTGAAGATTTTCCAGAGTGGGAAAGGTAATAATAATGTAAATAATTCTGGAATCTTAGAATTGGAAGGACTCTTTCACCATGAGATGTTTGTATTTTACAGCCCCTGAAAAGATGGTTTCCCAACCTCCTAATTGCCCTAGTACCAGGGAGTTTCTTCTTAAAATGATCAATTGATAGCTCTCATTGTTAAAAAGGTCATGCCTTTTGAATCAAAGTCTGCAACCCTTTCACTTCTACTCTTTTGCCTTAGTTTTGTCTTCTGAAACAAAGTCCTATATAGAATTAGGAGTTTTCTGTGTGAAGACACTAACATTAAACACCAATATTTAATGTTCCTCCTTACCCTTGGTTTTATGGTTAATGTTTGTATTTTATTGCTTTTCTTTCTGGAGGACAAGATTAGGAAGTTTTATTTTTACTAAACTAAAATGTAAATCGTAGTTACTTAGTATTTGTCTGAGTGACAAGAGTTTTGAAGTTTGGTTGTCAACATGTACTATTGGCAATTTTGTGGAAGTTGCTAATTTACTAGGGTTTTTTCTTATTTACCTGCAAATACTGAGGAGAATAATAAGCAATCTGAGTTTATTCAGATATGTAAGTTCCTTTAGTGCCTTGAAATAGTCAACACATTTTCTAACCTGGAACAAATCCCCAAAGCACTTAGAGAAGAATGTATCTACTTTTTCAGTGCATGTGACGACATCATTAAACATGCTAAATGCATATCTTGGATGTGCATTCATGTTAATCAGTGTCTCTTCATTTTCACTTTCTAATAATTTTTATTGTAGTTTGTAATTGTTATGTTTAGAATTAGTGATGAAAGGGACTCACTCTTAAAGGAATTAACTTGAGAAAGCACATATGCTTAGATGGCTTTCCTGTGTTTTCATCCATCAAAGATGTTTATTTGTGAGGTGAAGGAAAAACAAACTTACTTTAGGAGGCTGACTCCATGGCTGAGATGATTATTAGCAGAGGGAAGTGGATAAAAGATTAAGCAACCAAAAAAGAAAGACAAAAACAAGAACAAAATTGAGTCAGAAAGGAAGAGAAACATGTACAGCATTTCAGAATCATGGCATATTAGAAATTAAAGGGACCCCAGGAAGTCATCTGGTCCAGCTGCCTACTAAAATAATCAGCTCTGTAATACCTATAACAGATGGAGACTAGGCAGCCCTGGTGATGGGAAATTCACTGTTTGGCCGCAGTCTATTCCACTGTTGGCTGCTTGTGTTATTGTCTAATACTTTCATTTACTAAAAAAAAGTCTGTCTTCCAAAAATCTCCCCACCCCACCAAATCCCATTCCTCATTCTTCCTTCTGGAACTACAATAAATAAAACTAATTTTCTTTAACATTTGACCCTCCTTCATGTATTTTAATGCTTTTTTGATCCACCCCCACCTCTAACAATACACACAGGTCCATACTAAACTACTCATTTCTTCTGTTTCACATATAATATGGATTGTAAACCCTTTAACTCAGCTGTTGATGTACCCTAGGCCATTGGTCCCTCTTAAAATATGGTGCCTAGAACTAAAGTAACAATCTGCTATGTTATCTGCCCAGATTAGCATACAGAAGGTTGCTTTTCTTAGCTCTTCTATTAGTCTCTAATAGGAACACAGATGTTTTTGTTCATGTTGCTTTTGTGTAGATTTTATAGATCATTCAGAGGGATTGTGTTTAATTCAGCTCAGGATCTCTACTCTGCATCTGGCATTCATTTGGCACTAATGTGAAAGGACACCTATTTGTACACCATCTGGGAGAGAAGGGATAGGTCAAAATGCAGAGATTGGTGAGGATGCTGTGTCAGTAAGATAATTTTGCTCTTTAAATAAGATCAAGATATTCCCCTTAACCTAGATAGGCAGAATTTAACTTGAAACTTTTCATACTTTTTTTTTTATTTCATTGATCTCTTTTTTGTTTTAGCTGCTTCTTAAGTGAGTGGCAGAATGCAATTAAAATCCATCTCCCAGATTCCACAGAACCAGAAACATGTGTTCACTTAAAGAGAGAAGATGAAGAAGAGATGAGGATTGTTAGTATTCCCAAGAGTAAGGGACTAAATGGGTGCCAGGAAGTTAGAGGCTTTTCTGAGTTTCAAGATTCTGGCATTATAGTTAACCCTGTGACTATCAATAAATACCTTAGCCAGGCTAAGAGAACCAGAATAATCTGTCTTTGATTCCTGGGGCAGTGGTATGAAGAGGCCAGAAGGGGAAACCTATTAGGAAGTTGGAGGATGCTTATTTTAAAAAAAAATAGTTTCTAGCAATTTCATAATTTTGAGAAGTGTAGCATAAGATGACAGCTACAGTCACAGAATAGCTGACAGCAGGTGAGACTTCTGGATCATGCTTCTTTATCTTTTCAGTAGTATCCTCACAGGTAGTCTCCCTTGGAATAAAGTAGCTAGGAAAGTAGGATGCTGCAAAAAAGGGAAGTTAAAAGAATCAAACTTATGGTACTAACTTTCTCCAAGAGATTTAGTTTGTTCTCCAAGAGATTTTTTAGTTTGTTCTTTGATTTGAATCAAACAAATTTCTTTTGGCCAGATGATTTATTTTTTGCTTTTGCCACTATTAAAAAAAAAAAAAAGTAAATGTAACAACAAAGGATCTGATCCTACTTTTAGAAAAGTAATTTTTCTAAAAGCATAGCTTACTGGCTAAGAGCTTGAACCATTACCTTAGGCTTTCTGGGTTCAAATCTTTGTTGCTTCATTTACTGGTCTTGGACAGGTTACTTAAATGCTTTTTGTGCTTTATTTTCCCATCTGGAAAAGGAGATAGTAATAGGGATGTTGTGAAGATTAAATAAGTTAATACAAATGAAGCTTTTAGAGCAGAATCTGTACTGAATTATTTTACCTTCTGAGTAAGGTCAGTCTCTTGGACTGGAGATTTACCAGAAATGTATTTGGACTCATTGATACCAGGATAAAAGCAAATCCCAATAAATAAATAGTGCTTCCCAGCTAAATTTTTTTTAATATAATTGTTTTAAAAAATATATAATTCCCCTCCCTCCAAAAATTCATGCCACTCTGTATAAGTTAGGGGTTTACTATCTGTTACATTCTGTTATAATTTATTTTTATTCAGTAAGTAATCAGGAGAAAAAATCTAAGGAAAAAGTGTCATCATCAACTGGTATTAATAAGAAGGAATTGTTTTTTTAATATGATTTAAGCAGGTAAACACTGTAGGTCAGGAAAAAGTTTTTCCTCTATCCTCTTAGGGTCTCTGTCTGGGTATGAAAATTAAACTGAGAAAGATTAACAGGAGAAAAGCATAAAAATTTATTTTATATAAATTTTGCATGATACAGGAGCCTTTATGAGGAAATGAAGACCCAAAGAAACAGATCTATGTACTTTTATGCTAGGTTTGATGAAGAATAGACAGTCATGGAGGAATATGATATGTAAAAGAGTATGAGGTGATTGAAATAAACTGGGGGAAACAGCAAGTTCTGGTTGTTGGAATTCTTCTTGGCATCTTTTTGTTTTCAGAGATAATAATGCTCCTTTCCTCCAGGTAGAGGTAGGGTCCCTCATGTGAGGGTTTTATGGCCTGTTTCAGGTAAGAAGGGGGAGAGGGGGAGGAGGTCAGAGTGACCTTTCTGCTTCTGCCATTTTCTCAAACTTCTTCAGCTTAAAATATTCACTATGCCAAGATGCCAAATTTGGGGGTGGTTTATCTGAACCCCATAAACACCTCAGTGACCATGGTTTCTGAAAAGGAAAGAAAATAATTGTGACTTACAGGTACTAGACTTACCTATCAATTTTATTAATATAAAAATACCATAGATCAGGATTTCTGTAGCATGTATTTTCATCAAGACACCCCACACACATATACGGTTTCCAAACTAGTGAAAATAGAGCCCCTCTGAGAATCATATATAATTTTTTGTAAAATTTTTCTATATTTTTCCTTAGGTTGCCAACTCTAGCATAATAATAAAATTTCATAGATCTTAATTTTTAAAAATATTTTGAGAAGTTTTTCAACTTTTAAAGAGGAGAAACTTAAACTGGTGCAGCCACTCTGGAAAACAGTATGGAGGTTTCTCAAAAAACTGAAAATAGAACTGCCTTATGACCCAGTAATTCCACTCTTGGGCATATATCCGAAAAATAATTCAAAAAGATACATGCACCCCAATGTTCTTAGCAGCATTATTTATAGTTGCCAAGATATGGAAGCAACTTAAGTGTCCATTAACAGATGAATGGATAAAGAAGAGTGGTATATATGTACAGTGGAATACTACTTGCCCATAAAAAAATAACAAAATTTTGCCATTTACATCAACATGGATGGACTGGGAGGGCATTATGCTAAGTGAAAGAAGTCAGAGAAAGACTGTATGATATCACTTACATGTGGAATCTAAAAAGTACAACAAACTACTGGGTATAACAAGAAGGATACTCACAGATACAGGGAACAAACGAGTGGTTACCGGTGGTGGTGGGTGTGGAGCAGTGGGAGGTACACACTGTTGGGTGTTATATAGGCTCAAGGATGTATTGTACAACGTGGGGAATGTAGCCCATATTTTGTAATAACTGTAAATGGAAAGTAACCTTTAAAAATTGTATAAAAAATATTTTAAAAAAAGAGGAGAAACATATTTTGTAGGGCCAAAACAATTTTCAAAATCATATGTTGTCCCATTTTAATTTAAATATGTGTATTTGAATAAGAAAAATTTGGGGAGACTATCCCAAGAATGTTGAGTAAATAAGCATCTGTTTCTGACTTTTGAGATTTGGAATAGTTTCAATTTTTCTTTTATAGTTAATCTGTATTTTCAGACTTTTCTGTAGTGCAATACTTACCATTAAAAAAATAAATAAGGAAATATCTTTTTAAATCCTAGATGTGAAAAACTCCTGACTCGATTGCATGTCACTTACGAAGGAACCATAGAAGGAAATGGTCAAGGCATGCTACAGGTAGGAGAATTACAGCAGTGGGGGCATGGGGGGAAGGGACGACTGTCTCTTGTCAACCTTCTGACAGCAAAGGGAATATTAAAATCTGTTTATCTATCTTCTAAGCTGATTTAATGCAATGAAGCATAATAGCAGAATAGAGAAAAACACCAAACAGATCACCTTGACAGCCTTGGTAATACTTTTATCTGCTAATATACGTTCTCTGTTTCTTACGTGTGCCTCATGAAAAAGCCTTTGACAGAAAATCCAAGATCTGGACAACATCAGGCCTCTTGGTTCAGATATAGCTTGTAGATTGACAGTGGAGGAAGTTCCCAGGGTATGGTCTTGACAAGCTGTCATCAGGCAGTTTTGTTCTCTTTCTTTAAAGGCTCTTGCTCTGCCCTAAAAAATGACCAGCTTGAGATGTTTTCCTGTCACCAACTTTGTTTAGGTCTAGGAGGCAGACATCTAAAACGGATTGATAAGAAAGTCCTCTCTCCCATGTGTAATAGTTTTAGGCACATGAGCCAAATATACTTGCCATCTCTTCCCTGTTTTAGAGCAAGTAATTTTGTCCGTCAATCTTTGTTATTAATCTATTAATCCTGCCATTATGTAAAAAAAAATATTTTGGAAAAAGGAGTTAACAGATAAAACACTGTATCTAGCTTTAACTTGTTGTAACACCTAACCTGAGCATGTGCTTTCCTTTTGCTTTATAGTGATCTTTTAAAAAAAATCACTGATCAGAGACGAAATGTTCATGTTTTGTGTTCTTATTTAGAAGAGCATTGTAATCCTAATTTTCTTTGAAAGAAGCTTGTACACCATCTTGTTTATACTGAGACTAGCTGATTTTTTTCTTAGATCATTATTAAATGCTTATATAGGGTCAGAAGTTAAATAAAGCAGTTGCCTGATAATGGACTATTTGTGTGAATAACTTAATTTTTATTATAAAATGACTAGACTGATTTGCATTTGGCTAGTTATTATATACGTATGCTCTAAGTGCCTACATTTGTTTTAGAATGGCCTTTTATTTAGACATATTTGTATTTAAAATTTTCAAAGAGGCAAACCATGTTTTGTTTTAAATCACCTCCCAGTGATTAAAATTATAGACAAAAATAATTAGGATAACTGAATTAATATTTGCCCTGTACTTAATTTTTTTAATATTTATATTTAATAAGTCCTTTTTCTTCTATTTAAAACAATAATTTTGAAATAAGGCTAAAATTTGTTTCGAATGACTGTCACTTTTCCCCCCACATTTCCATCTTGACAAGGTTCTTTCCTACATTAACATCTTGGATTAACTGAGGGAAGCTTAATACACATGAAATAAACAAAGCTACTGGTGGT